TTAAAGGGCTTCTACGTTAAACTTATTGTATTGAGTAAGGTACAATTATGTGTTACACTTATGTTATATAATAAAAAGAAATGTTCATTTCTTTCGGTATTAAGATATAAAAATTTGAAGATGACGTTGCTTTGAGGTGTATTTAATTTGGAAACTATTTGTAATTTATAAATTATAATAAACGTTTCTTAGATATATGTGTGATACAAATAATTCCTTTTTTTGAATGCAGCTCTTAGTCGTTGTGGGAGTTTAAAAATTATTGTTTTTTGTATTGATACTTTTCCAAAAACACTCAGAAATAAGTTGTGAATACTGATAAAATTCATATATAGTACTTAGTTAATACTTTGAATCAACTTTTGTTTTTTTTTTTAACTAAAAAATAAGTACAAAACCGTAAAAAGAAACCATTATATATAGATAAGAAATCAATGAAAATTATCTGTACCTAATACACATGAATGTACGAAACCTACTTAAATTTCCGTTCACATTTATAAAACAAAAGGAAAATGGTAATCGATTTGACAAACATCCTTTTTTAACCAAAATAATTGAAGTTTTAAATACTATTTATTAATTACTACATATTACTATAGAAATTTATAGAAGAGACGTAATACAGATTTTGATTTTGATATCTAAATTACTCTTAATTATTTATGTTCGTTGTCACAGATATCCTTCTAACTATTTATAGTGTAGTGTCCGCAGTAAATCTTCATATCAACCAGATGTCCTAGTATCCGTTCAGCGTATAAAGGAATGTAATGACTCCTTAAAAATAGTTTTAATGTTTGGAATAAAGAAATTAAGAGGCCTTCTTAAACTACGATTGTAACAAAAATATTATTAAAAATAAATTTGAATTTTAAGTTTCATTTAAAAAAAATTGTAACACGTATTACAGATTCTTTCTCTTTTTGTTTATAGAAAAAATATTCAGTACCAATTTTATCGTAATATCATAAATAATTTTTCAGTCTATGGTATTTAAGAGTGTTTTTTTCTTTGTGATATTATTTGTACCACCAAAAAAATATAAAACACTATGTCGACTTATTATCAGTTGGAAAGTTATACTTGGTAGAATTCACGGAAACGAATTAATGTGTTTTAAATGTGTTAGTAGAATAATTAATTGAGGTAGATAAAAAAACGAACATTTTGAACAATCTCTTGAACTTAGTTGAATCACACAAGCTTCTGGTTTTTTTAAGGTAAACCGTAGATAGCTGATTCGTGTTTGTAGTGAGTTGAGGATAATCAAATTTCCTTGTACCAAAGGTTCGTGTCCATTTAAACAAGTATGAGGAAATACTTTATATTAAAGCGTACTTAGAGCAGTTACTGACTGATTAATTATTGATATAAAAATGTTTTATCATCATCCCAAATGATATTTAGTCCAATTGAAGCTAGTAAGTAAACGTAATATCCCAGTCAAAGACTATTACACTTGTCTTGAATATATGTTAATCCTAACTGGGGCGAAAAACAGACAATATTAAACTATTGTATTCCTTTTTTTTAGGCATATGGAAGAAGGGAGGGTTTAGCTAGGCTTAGAACAAAAATATGAAGAGTGACTGTGTAATTATTATCTGATGGTAAAACGGGGATTGATGAATTAAATAGAATAATTCCTACCCATAGTCTTCAAATTTTTTTTGTATTTTCCAGAAGTTGGCGAGTTTACCTCTGTGGTCAAGACCGAATAGGTGATTTTCGACAAAATTGCGATCATTATTATGCATTCATTATCATTATTTATTCCTACTCATCCAAGAAGTCCTAAGCAATGAGACATTTACCAGTAACCATCCATATGTGACAGCAGTACTCAACCAAGTATCTGATACAAACTAAGTTCGACTAAATATCTCATCATAAAGGATTTGGATAAAACCTTTGATGAAAATATCGTAAGATCAATTCTTAAATGAAAATCTACATAAATAAAGTCTCTAATATGCTTGTAGGTCGATCTAACATCTTATAAATCAAAGTTTACTTTCAAAGAAGGCTTTGAAAAATTAATTCGCTCTCATATCGACAATATATATTGTCACGTATGAGACATTTAATTGAATAATCGTAGGAAAAACAGCATTAAATAATTATTTAGAGCTGGTACCTGACCTTAATCTTTTTCCTCTACCTGACAATTTAGCCAGGGTCTGCCTTACATGTTGTGAATAGTTTTGGCTTATTGTTTTTATGACCGGCCGCCTGCCTGACATCGACCCTATTTTGGGAAAGCATTAATCAGTGATGTCTAAATACTCTTAGCAAGTACATATGACTCGGAAAAATCACATTGGTACTTGCCAGGAACAAACCCGCGCCCTCATGCATGAGAGGCGGGTCTTTTAACCACCACCAGCCAACCCACCACTGACTTAACATTACTTAAGAACCCCCAAAAAAAATCTTTCAGATTAAAACACCTCACTAAAACCGGTCCATCCAGTTAAGATTTGCAATGCCACAGACATACACATACACCTCTCTTGCTTGCGTTGTTGATTATAAATTAACTTAACATGTTTTTAAGAAGGTTAATAGTTTTTTTTCATTGAATTCTCAATATATGTGATAAAATGCCATTTGGTACGTTCTTTGACATATTTCAACTAATATTACTTTCCTTGCATGTTTGTTTTTAATTTACATTTTAAAGTACTTAAAGGACATTGATATGAAAAATCCAATTATATACTAATTTCATAATATATATGTAGACATATGTGTATATATAAGTATATATATTAAGAATAAATATACGTATAATAATATTTAGTAACAGTAACTAACAAAGTATTATTTGGTTGAAGGGTACCATCAAGCGGATAAATGCTCTCAGCATTTGATTGAATAATAGATTACACTAACTATAAATGTATTCTAAAAGACGTCATAAGTAATTAAACTAAGTGTCGTTTGACATAGTAAGAACAACAATAAAATTTCCTAAGCAAAGATGTTCCTACATAGTAGAATCCTACATTTTCTATACAGTTCAATACAAAAGTGAAAGTAACTATAGCCATCTATAGTTTCACTGCCATGACGACATCTATAGATATTTTTATCTACATATTATAATAAAAATACGAAGCTAATTGTAATGTAATGTTAACAAAAGCAGGTTTAAAAACCAGTTTACCGTGCAAATGGCGTTTATTTACACACAAAACCAACTCACCGTTTCGTTTATTGAATTAGTTGAGCTCATATTGCTTATGTTTGATGAGAAAACTTCTGTGCTATCTGTGGGTGCTGTGCCAATACAGCCTAAAGCACCCATTTCACTGAACACTTAACAAAAATACAAAAAATATATATTTAATTTATAACAGTGCGTCTACTTCGGTTAATGTTTGCCGACTGACATTCGTGTGATCACAGAATACGCGGTTACTGGAAGAAACATCGTTGTCATATCACATACAACACTAGTTTTACCGCGGCTTTGCTTGGGTCAATGACTTTACTATCAAACTCCAAATATATTGATGCTACCAAAGTAAGCTAGTTATTACATGTTTGATGTATTTTGTGTGAATTTTTGAGTTAATATTTAATAAAAAAAATGGCTGATCGATTTCTGAAGTATGCTTATAAACGAGTACTTTTCAAACAAAGTTATGGTAAAAATTAAACTAAAATTTTCTGATTTACTACGCGATTTTTTATTTTTGAAAATATTAGTTCCATTTAAATGAATACTTGCGAAAATCTTAATTCTTATTATAGTAAAAATCCTTGATTTCTAAAAAAATATATTCATATATCTGTATATATCTGTGCTAGCTTCTGTATGTCTGTGTAATGATTCACTCTCGTCGTATGTACACGTAACTCCAGACGTGTATGTATGTCAGTCTGTCATACGACGATTCAAAATATTACTATACATCAACATGAACAGTTTACAAAGCCATTTGAGAGGTTTTAAATTTTAATGTATATAAATATTATATTTTGTTGATAAATTCATCGTGTAAGTACAGAATTAGACTCATAGAAATGTATATAGTGTTAAAATAAGTAAAATGATAATCATCTATCTACCTTTGATATTCATAGTATTTTACAAACAATGCAACTAAATAGTTGTATTAAGTTTATGCCGTGATTCTACTCGGAATTTCAAATAAATTATAACCTATGTCATATCCTGATACTTAAGCTATATTATTGTAAAGTTTCATTAGTATCTGTTTAGTAGTTTTTACCTGGAAAAGTCACAAACATTCCTACCTATATGTATACTTACGTCCAAACATCACCACGGAGTAGAATAGTAAAATTATTTATTAAGGAGTAAAGCCTTTGCCACTTGTCTTTTAAAATGTATTACAAATTTCAAATATTTGTGAATGCAGCCACGAACGGTGTAGTTTCTATCAAGCATTAATAATAAAATTTAATTTTAATTACGTTAAAAATATATACAACAGGTTCGTGTTATAAATAATTTAAAACAAATAAAGTACTTATATGTTTATACATCTCATTCTCTGATAAGATTTTATCTTAGTTAGATAAAAATATGAAACGTGTACACAAATATTTGTATCAAAATAATACTAATAAAACTTAACCTTTCAATATTTTTTTCTTTTAGCGTGTTTAATAATAATAGTAAAAATTAATTATCGGACTAAACTTCTGGGACTGTTTTAAAATAGGTATATCTGAAAGATATAAAACCTCTATGCGTCACAACAGAACCTCTTTCGTAATTTTCTACCGACCCGTTGAGTCATCGCTGACGAATTTCACCTTATCCGCATTCAATTCAAGTCTATTTATTTATCTAGTATAAATATTGATATAATAATATTAAAATATATCACTATATATTCTACCTTATATGTACATTTATATTTTTCGTTTGAGATTTCCTTAAAACGTCACTATTAATTATTTTGTCAAACATTTCCCGTCACGTAGACCATTTGATTTGATTGTGTTTTATGTAATATACAATGGATATTCCACAAATTAAATCATACGAAGAGCAAGCTATAGATACTGTTGTATCTGTTTTAAACAGGGCGAAAGAATCTCTTGGTGTGAGGCAGACACTTAAACAACTAGCCAGTATGTGATCTTATTCAAATAAAAAACAAACTAAAATTATTATTAAAATTTCATTACAATCATATTTAATACATTCTACATACCGTAATAGATATTATAATGAAAAATTTTATCAAAACTATTGACAAATGTATACACGTAGATGTTGAATCACATAAAACATTTTGTGGTCGAATTATTGATAATATTTAAATTGCAAGTTTATTCTTTTCACATTACTCCATCTGTACAAATAACTACGTTGTTTTTTCCATACAATAAGATATATAAATATATATATACTTATGATTTTCACAAGTTCTTTATTAGAATGGCTCGACAAAAACATTTTTCATTGTGTAGTGTCGAGTAGACTTGAATAGTAAATAATATTGAGCTGTGGGTACATTGTTCTTGTACATTGTATATTGTGTTTATCAAGACTTACACGTTTTAGACATAAGCGGTGACATTTTGTATTTTTTAATATCACGTTTCATGGAGTGTGTATAATTAAAAAATACTTAGAAATTTTAACCTTTGATTTATATTAGAATTTGAGACAGTATAGATAGAACGAAACTAATATTTTTCGGATATATACTACGAGATGCCCGTGATCGAGGTTGCTGTAAAGTAACCGAAACGTAGGGAGTATGTAGTTTTTATCAAAAATAAAGTCGCGTAGTTTATCCGAAAAATATTAGTTTCATATAAATGACTCGCGAAAATCTCAAATCCCAGTACAGATAGAAGTAGATATATAGTAAATTAGGTTGTTTATATGTAGTTTATACAATATGTATATATATATATATATATATATATATATATTTATACCAGCACAAAGTTCTTTAACACTTCGAGGTTACATAGCGATAATTGTTTCCTCCGTCTTTAAATAGAATTTTGTGAAACTCGTCTTATTATAACACAAATCATTTTATATAAACATAAATTAGTATTTGAATTATTCAGTAATAATTTTTATATACAATACGGTAATTTTCGGCGAACTCGTTCCGCAAAAATAAATTTAATGATCACGACATAAAATTTGTGTGAAAAAAAGTTATTCTTTGAACAAATGGAAATACTTAAATAAAACACACACACTTCTTCCTTAACAGCGTTCTTAAATTTGTTACGAGATAATATTTTTTTAGTAGTTAAATTAAACAAAATTAATTACGAAAATAACATGCGACTAAAAAGTTAATACAAAATTTTAGTATTAAAATTTGATATCTACAAAATATTATTTACCATATAGTTTTTTCCAGCCAGTCGCGATTACCTTACCCCACCAGGGAAGGTAATTTTAACATCCCTCCGCTGCCCTCTAGCGGTGACAAGCGAAAACCTCATTATAAACACGATACAAAAGAAATGGCATCTCACAGACACATTCATGTACGTACTACATTACATGGGCTCTTCGAAAGATGAGTGTTCCCAGTACTATTATTTTGAGGTAAATATTTTTATGACGTCAACCAGAATTTACCGCGATTGGTTTTTTTTTGCTGATGTATGGTGGCAACGTTATTTCATTGCCTTATGTGTTGTAAAATTGAATATACATATACTATTAGGGTCCCATAGTTCAGTTAGAAAAGGGCATTAGTCATTGTTTAACAGACATCCTAGATTCGAATCCTATCTGAAGTATTCAAGTTTTTTTTTAATTTGTTAATATTACAAATTAAATATCCGTATAAGGATAAAATAAATTTAAAATCACCAACCCGTATTGAGCAAGCGTAGTGATTAATGCTTAAGCCTTCTCCGTGTGAGAAGAGGCCTTTAAGCAGTGGGCTCTGATAGGCTGATGATGAGAAGTATCCCGTTATTTTCATAGCTTTACAAGTCTTAATATTTAACCATTGATATTTATGATGTTTCCCAGGCTGTCTTCAGTCAACCAACAGCTTCTTATCCAATACCACAAGCGACGGCGACCGTCTACTTCAGGGTTGAAGATAAACATGTTGAGCCTCCAGAGGTCAAAGGAGTACCAACGGTACATAAATAAAATACGATAATATTACATAAACCAGTATTAGATAAACCTGGCATTTAAAAATTTGTATTTTCTTGTAAGCGATTATTAGGGATATAATCAGTGTAGTTCATCCCTTATATTTATTTATTTTAATAAAGTCAAAAATGGTACGTAGTCTAGCACGTCAGTATGTATGTATCTTTATTTAAGTAAGCGTAGTTTTTTTCTTACCAATTAAATTATTTCTTTCATAAACAAAATTTACCTTTTTTGTTAAAGATAAATATCTTTAAATTCGGGTTATAAATTTATTATGTATTATATTAGGAGCAAAACGCAATAGAAATTCTTTAAAAATCCATGTATTTTCATTTTCACCTGTATGTTTAATAGAAGTAGTCTCTTTATTTGACTTCGTCAAGTTTAATGTGTGAACATTTATTTATGAAAAACGATTAACTTTTCGTATACAGTGTATCATAATAAACTCGGGGTAAGCTTGCTATTGTCATGCTGAAACCACTACGTTTCGGGGATATTTTATTTTTTACTTATAACTTTAATACCATTGAGTATTTAGTTTATCCCCTTTGCAACTGAGCGATGATTAATAATACAAATCCATACGACACATGTATGTATATGTAATTTTATCTGTTTACCATTACCGTATTAATATAAATATTTATTTGTATGTCTAATTAGTGATAAGATAAGAAAAAACATATTAAAAATGTTATGCAATTTATATTGTGGATGTATAGTGTCTTTGTACAAAACGATGTGTGACAGATATTTAAAATGTCTGTATATTTTACGATTTTGTATCTGTCAATAATATTTTTGACACTTATTCTATTTCTTTCACTATTTTTTTTATAAAAATATATTTTACAAGCCTACATATATTATTTTAAGTAAATATTTGATGGCTTCTTTCTTAATACCCTTTTTCAGTTTATACTGAAAGTCATGATGACATATTAAAAAAATATTACGTTCTCTCGTTCACATGATAACTTTTATTGTTATTTAAGAGCGTTAGATTAAATAAGTCAGTTTTATGGCTTTAATTACATGTCGTAAAGACCATTGATTGCAGTTTAATTTATTATATATTATTATAGATGACATTCAGATTGGAAGGCCATCGTACGGACCACGATGTACGACATGTACTCTTGATACCTGATTGGATCCTTGCCATCATGCAGATGAAGATCAAATTCTTCCAGAGATTGGAGGAAATGACACTATTCTAATCCAAAATTTAATATAACTTGGAAACTTAAAAGTTGTGAAGGCCATGATAAAAAAATGTTTTAAAAGCATATTCATTCTACATTTTAGGTGCTATTATTAGCAATAGTTTTTAAAGCAGAATTAAAAGAATATAGTATATTACTTGGAGATTTCCTATCAATAAGAAAACATCTTGTCTTGGCTACTCCACTTTTGGACATAATGGCCTTGTTAGAGAGATCACGTCGTATTTCTCATCTTGTTTACGAAGCAGTTTCCTGACATTTTTCTACGCTATGGTCAACAAAAATCTTGATTTAATGATATAATTCTTTTAATTCATGCCTTGTCTATATCCTCGATAAAATTTTGTTTCTCAATTGGTAGTTCATTCATATGAAAATCTCAAGAACTAAACTTTGATATATCCAATACATAACTATATCCAATACTGAATATTTCGATAGTTTTATGTAAAATTAATTTAATTTATGCTATCCACTATAAATACATATGTTATAAATTTGATTACGATTATTAAATAAATTTGCTGAGTACAACCCTATCTTCAATTATCCTTCACAATTCTATTTTTATACGAAATCTTTCAAAGTACATAATAACAAGGAAACTCGACTAACTTCACACGGATTCACAGAAATCTGATAAATTATTTAAATCGCTGGAAACCTTGAAAGTAAATTGCAAAAGATTTCTAGCTTCGATTCGGTCGGAGGAATATACTTAATGAGGCAGTTAGAACAATTCTTGGTAACATTCAGACGCATTTCAAACATGTTATTATAATTTGGTAATACATTAACGATATTTATTACTACTAGTCTTTTTGATATTTTAATACTATTAAATAGATATGATAATATAATTCTAACCTTCTAAATCACGAGTTCAGTGCCTAGCACAAGTTTGAATAGCTACATACGAAGTTTTACTCGTTTTTTATCCAACCTACATTAGTATTATTATTGAAAACATGGAAACGTTTCGTCTACAGTGTGTCTGTCAAACTCGTTATAAGCATTATATACAGGAGGTTCACTTTTTAATCTTCTATCTATAGCATAATAGGCAATAAAAAATGATCATACTGTTTAATTCATAGGGGAGAGTCGGATATATCGTACCACTTTTCACTTTAACTCAAATATTTCGACTATAACACGTCTTATAATAATTAATACATATGTAAAATAAAGTTTCATATTTTAGCTTCCTAAGAAGAAGAGAACAGATCCTTGCGATTATTCTAACATTGTTAAAAATGCTTTTTTACAGAGGCTTGCCATCGGTACGATTTAGCCGACTCGTCGTTTTAATCGTACCACTAAGTCTTTAAATCGTACCATGAGTGTTTAAGTCGTACCACTGAATGAAAGACATTAAAATTCTCAATCAAATTATTTATTTTTAACTGTTAGGTAAGTAATAAAACAACATTATTTATATCTTTTAGGTAATAGAAACATAATTTTTAACTCTTAGGTTATATAAAGGAACTATAAGCTTTCTCAGTAAAATAACATGATTATACTATGATAATGAGATCAATCAACATAACTAATAAAAATTAGACAAAAAAAAAACAGTAAACTATAATAATAAAGTAACAGTTAACAAGAATGTTATTTGTAATATAATTATTGTGCATATTTCTTAATGGAAACAATCATGACAAATGTCTGGATTCGAAGTACACGTCCCATGTAGCCACCGTTTACAGCGAACGCATTGAATCCAATTAACTTTTGGACACTTCTTATCGTAGTGAGAACAATTGCACTTTCCACATATATTTTCAGAAAATCATCGCTTTACAGATTCGGGTAGTACTTACTATAGGTACTTGCGGTAGTACTATAGGTACTTGCGGTTGGTAGTCGGGTAAATCGTACCAGTACAATTTAACCAACTGCAAGTGGTACGATTAAACCAACTAAGGCATTTCTAAAACAAAAGCAAATATCCGGCATAAACTCAAAACTTAGACACGCAACAAAAACCCCCAATAATCTAGTATACAATTGTGGAATAATAAAAAAAAACTGAATAACTATAGCTTACCTTGACTACGAGTTATCTCCTTACGAATGTACGACAATATTTATATCAATTCCTACAAAAAATTATTTTTTTTATTACGTGCACAGTTGTTAACCCAAGTCGATGTAAACTAGTGGGTGAAGAGGGATGGTACAGGGCCACGATTTGGCGTTGTCAGTGTAGAAAAAAATATTCATTAAATGGGAAATTAAGAGGTGGTACGATTTAAATACTAGTACGATATAACCAACTCTCCCCTATATAATATCTGTTACTCGGTTAAATTCGTGACAGTCATCTGATATTTAAATGTACAAGTTCATTGTATAAATATTGTGAACACATTGAACCAGCTACATGAACATGTCTTGGAACGTGTATTTATTGAGTCACCGTGTCGCAAATCCTTGCACAATACGATCATTGTGCCTGCCTGATGGCTGTAACTATTTGTTCTTATATGTATTATTTTGATATATAAGATATTAAGAGCTCACTAACGAACTCACTCGAAATAGGTTCGTCGTGGATTTGTAAGCGGTAGAAGTGGGAGCGAGAGGTATAAGAGCTAAATCTCTCTACAACCTACTAAAAGACTTGGGCTTGTCCAGAACTCATATTAATACATTCTTGGAACGTGCATCGAAGGCAGCCCTGGTAGGTTCTTTTCAAATTTGGTTAGGTAAAGAGAGGAGCTTCGACAGTGGAGGTGAGAGTATAACGCGCATTAGCTAGAGGTTTCTTAAACCTACACCTGAGTCACAAGTCCCAGGTACTGTTTAAACTCCTCTCACTACAACGATGGACCCGGCGGCCGGCACACGAACGGCGAATAGATTGAATGCTGTGAGGTTTTGTCTCAATCAGTAACTTTACTACAAGTACGTATAGTAAAACTTACAAACGATAGTTACAAAAGATTATGTTCGAAGATTTTGTAGTAAAAATGGCAACCTTGTATATTTTAAGGGTATATACACATTTTCTATTTGTATTGAATTCCTTTGTTCATCATAATTTATTAAAACCGATCTATGTTCTGATACAGGAATATTTATATTTTCATCCTTTTTCTATATAAATATCTAAGTTATTTGTAGATTTTGTTTTTTAAATAAATTTCCGTGTAAAACGATATAATCTAAGAACCCGCATACATTCGTTCAACTTATGGGGGGATGGAGTAATTAATGGTGTTGTACCATGAGATAATACTGTCATATTAAATTAAGTTAAGGCTAAAATTTATATGATGTTATAAAATAGTTAATATATTTTTTCATAGTGTTATCTTTGTAATGAAACTTAGATAGGATGTTCGACATTTTTTGATATAATAAATGAATATAAATTTGTAAAATATAATAAACATGAATTTTTTTATTACTTAAGTTTGGATATATAATTCAAAACTACGACTGATCTTCCAGTTGAGAGAGTCCAATGAGGTTTACCATCTCGTCTGTCCGTGATCACGGTTGCTGAAAAGCAGCCGAAACGTCGGGAGTATGTACCTACTTAGTTTAAAATAATAAAATACGCGTAATAATATGAAAATATTGAGTCATTTAAATGATGGAGTATACTTGGTTATAATATATTTTAGTTTTATTTGACTACAAACGAGAAAGAAGAAGAAAGAAGCATTATTTTTATCCTTCTCTAGTAGAACTAATAAACCCATGACTTACTTATTAAACACCTGGTATACCTTAAGAATAACCTTATTAAATATTATAAATATTAATAAAATTATTTGTCAATAATGCATCTGCATACTGCTTTTTACTAAGAATATTTTCAACACAGTTTTATCACCTTTACCGCCTCTACAGCTTCTTATCAACAAGATGCGGGGATGTGATCTCCAGAATACTACATAGTTTCGTTAATTTTAAATTATTGAATAAATCTTTTTTATCGAATGTATATTAATCATTAAGTATTTCGTCACCATATAACATTATGTTATTTACAATAGTAAATTAGTAGATGTTGCAATTTGGGTGCACCACGTTTTATTCGTATTTACCTATGAACAAAATTATTTTAAAATGATTTTTAATATTACTTACAATTAAATAGACTTTGCCCTAGTTACCGCAAAGCTCTTTTTTAGAAGTACGTACCATCTAGAACTGTTTAGCAAATTACATAACAACCTTACTTACGAATTTCATTTTAAACTATTAAAACCAAGTATTCTTTCTATATATGACGTAATTATAATATAATTAAAGACTTTATTAATAATGAACTTTATAATTAATAATTATTAATGAAGTCACTTAAACTGTGTAATTATCATTATGGTTATGTAATATTACCATCGCCTTATAATTATTGATCATTTATAAGTTTCCTTATCATTATAAAACAAAATAAATTTTATTCCCTTGAGTACGTAATCTATACAATATACAATAATTATGTTCTAACATAGTAGTATCAAGCAATGTTGGAATAAACAAGTGACTTAAAATATATAATGAAAAATGCATCGCATGATTTGAATTTACGACCTCCCGTATATCGATTTACAGACTCTTAGTCAAATAAACCATCATGTCTTGAATTAATTCGTACAATTAAATATTGTAACAGTTAGCATGCTTCTATCCCTCATCTATCAATTTGAAGTTCTTCAAAGAAAGATTTTATAGGTTTTTATTGATTGTATACAGTTGTAATTATGAAAAAATATTCTAGTTAGAAACCAAAGTAATATTAAAGAAATATTAAATCGATTACTGTTCGCTTCGATGCCATTTTATATCTATGTTTTTTAACTCAAACGTATATAAACCATTATATTATATGATTGGTTGTCTTAAACATAGCTTAGCGTCTATAGAGCAGGCTCTACCTGGCGTGAGTCATAAAACCACGTTTTGCACGTAATGACCCAAACCCGCTGTCATTCTCGTGAGTTTTGTTTGCGCGTGCGCACGCGTTGTGTACTCTACATATAACGATCTATTATTCTCCTAGTTAATGTGATGTGTTAATTAATATATAGTGATTTGTGTGTGAAAAATGGTGCGTACGTATAGAGTTGTTAGTTGTTTCAAAATGCCGAAACGATCGAAGGTAGTTCCAGCCCCGACTGGGGAAGGGGTGTTTACTATAGATATGTCATCTACATCTACATTAGATATAGCTGTAAGTATCTATATATTATTGCTACTAGCACATATTAAATAAATATTCTTGATATACAAACATGGTATAAGAATAGATAACTTGTTTACATAAGGTCCAAAATCGTCTGACGCTAATTAAAGACGCGGTTAAAAATAACGGTTAATTAAAAAGTATTTTAACGGTCGACTTTAGTTATCAAATACATTGTTAAAATAACTTGTTTGGTTAAGACAAGGTCCAATATTTGTATAAATATATATGTATTACACTTGTATGTACGTGCGTTATCATGCCAATTGCCAATAGCAGAATTAATCGCTATAGTTGTTGTTTAAAACAGATATTGAAAGAGAAAGTTGACCTGACACTAAGTAAAATACTTATATAACAAATACCTAACTTAGAAACTATATTCTCTTGTAAAACCAATATATATGTATATAGGTATATAAATCAGTGGTGGCCTAGTGATGGCCCGCCTCTCAGGCATGAGGGCGCGGGTTCGATCCTGGCAAGTACCAATGTGATGTTGCCGAGTCATATGTACTTTTTGTGAGTATTTAGACATCACTGATTAATGCATTCCCAAAGAAGGTTGATGTCAGGCAGGCGGCCGGTCGTAAAAACAATTAGCCAAAACTATTCACAACATGTTAATCAGACCCTGGCTAAAGCTGAGAAATTGCCAGGTAGAAGAAGAAGATTATAAATATATTATATTTCACGTGTTAATATATTCATATAAGCAGACATACACCAGCCACGCAAGGTCAACTACGTCGCTTAAATATCAACATTTTTACAAATATTTGTTTAATTATAACGTAAAGAAATTTTATCTAAAGTAAATTAAGGAGGGTTTAATAAATATAATATAATTCTTTATATAACTTACTGTACTTTGGTACATAAAGATTGTTTTCTTTAGATGCTATTTTTATTCTTCTGTATGGAGAACAAGCATAATATTGTCGCTAACTAGTAACTCAATGTGACACGTTTATTGATAAGGTAATCTCAATTTAGATTTTATTAGCGACACGAATATGTTAATTGATTATGAAATTATAACAAATTAAGAATATATATATAATTTCCATGTCACAATGTTAGTTACTGTACTCCTCTGAAACGGCTTTACCGATTTTTAAAAATTTTATATGCGTATTCCATAAATCTGAGAATCGGCTACTATCTATTTATCATACCTCTAAGTGATATGGGCTGTTCAACATATTTTTTTTTTTACATTTTTTTGTTTTTATTTTATTTAAATGTAGCATTAATAGGCCAGTGCAGATGCCTCTAAAAATGATGAAAAGTGAAAATAAATTATAATAGAATGAAACCCATTGGAAAAGGAGGGAATATTATAAAAATTAAGGGAAAAATAATTTACGGGCGATCTGAGGTCGGGAAGGGTACGGGCGTGGGTATTTAAGGGTAAAAAATGGGTTTTCTCGATTTCCGGAAAAACAAAGAGTCCTAATGAAAAATGTTATATGGCAAAGTTGTAGGTAATAAAAAGATCTAAAACTTTTGTATTTACTTTTTTTCACATAACCTGAAAATTTATGTGATAAATTCGAAAAAACAAGTTTTTAGTATTTATTTTTATCTCTTACAAAAGACAATTTTTTGTCACGAAATTTGGTGAAAACATATCTTTTGATGTTACAAATGCACTGTAATTTATTTTATTACAAAAATTTATTTTTTCAGCTTATTTTGAATAAATACCTAAAAATCAGCCTCATTTTCAATCGAAAAATCACAAGTCCAAATAACAGCGTTTTTCAAAAATTTGGTGTGTTTTCTGTTTGTTGAAATCTCTATTTTCCGATGGTGAAGAAATAAATATAAGTTTCTTACTTACAGTACCATTTTTGGATAAAATAATCATGTCTCTTTTAACGAAATGACACTCGACATCTGGAAGTTCTTCAGATAGTCCCTCTTTTAGGTAATTTACGGAAAATTGACATTAAGCTGCTAAAACTCAGGTTATGTCAAAAAAAATGATAGTAAAAAAGTTTTAGATCCTTTTATTACCTACAACTTTGCCATATAACATTTTTCCGTAGGACTTTTAGTTTTGCCGTAAATCGAGAAAACCCATTTTTTACCCTTAAATACCCATCCCCATACCCTTCCCGACCTCAGATAACCCGTAAATTATTATTCCTTTAAATTTTATAATATTCCCCTCCTTTTCTAACGAGTTTCATTCTACTATAATTTAATTATGTTTTAAAAGCTATCGGCACTGGTCTATAAAAATACATACAACGCAAAATTGTTACGTTATTATCACCAACCCCTATTTTTATATGGCAAAAAAACGTTTGACGGGTCAGCTAGTATATACATTATAATTGACTTTTAAGACATTATTACAGATTCATTTCTAAGCGATGTAAATCTGGTATAAAAAGTATATCATATCAAGGTGATAGAACAGGTTTGAGGTCTACATCGTGAAAAAAAGTTCGTGATCCGATCAAACTATCACGATGATGCTTCGTGATGATGTAGTATTTGTAGTCATAGTTTTATTCGTACTTATAGTTTTACCTAGAAGACATTTTAAAACAGAACAGTATATGATATTCAATATAAATATTTAATAATAATCACTTACCACAAGTACGTAGTGTTATCCTACACGAGAAAACTTTCAGTATTATTGTATTAACGTAGAATATTTAAGTAATGAGATAGAAGGTGTTTTATGTGACATGAAAAACTGTAATAGCGTTAAGTCCGCCCTTTGTACACCTCTGTTTGTGCAATAAAGAATAATAAAAAAAAAAACTTATGGTAGGCATACTGTATACATACTGTTAGAAATAAGTTAAGCAGTATTTCCACTTATTTATCAGTCTAAAACTCCTAACAGAATCTCCAGTCCAGCACTAACATCTTTATAATATTCAAAAGTAACATTTAGGTGAGGGTAAATTACAATATCACACAGAGGGCGCTAGTTTGCGAAAAATAAACCCAATTACTATCAGAATATAAATAAATTTAAGCTTATAATTATAAAGTACATCATAATTAGAAATATAAATAATTATTATTAACAGTGAAAAATTTTCATATAAAATCAATGATAGTAACGAAAAACGTAAAACTGCTCGTGTTTCGTTTAAAAATGACACTCGTTTTAAGGCTACGTCTATCCTTGCTCCAGTAAAACGTTCTTGATATATAGATTTTATTATTTTCAGGTTAGCTGTAACAAACAAATAGACTGATATCTTGAAAAATATAATAATTTCAACTTTAACTTATATCGCATAAGGTTTAGTATGGCAAATTGACGTTTGGATTTTATATATAGTTTAAGGAAAAACATTTATTTATTTAGTAAAACATAATGGACGAACATTATTTATTAAAGTTTCTTGAGTAAATATATATAAAATAGCTTTATTCCACTAGCTAATATTTTCAGAAAATATTTTTTCTGACATACAAATGTACGTCAGAAAGTATGTGTTTATTCAGTTTTAAATAGATAACCAATAAAAATATATAAAAAAAATACATTTTTATAGAAGCAATTCTAATCCATATTTATATAATAACATTTATGTTAAGAAAAATATTGCATCACGTAAATGCGGTTGAGTGAAGAATTCTATTCAGTTGCGAGCTGTTTTTTTTCGTCAGGTTACTTTTTGTTTAATATATCTAAGGTCGTTAACCCTTCAAATATTCCTTTGTATAAACTTAAGCCCTGACAGATCTGAATATTACGAATATTTCTCATAACTCTCGTGTATTTCTCAACACAAAGGTATTCTCAGTAAAATCTGTGGAATTCTTAGTATCTAATAAAACAAGCGATATTCGACTTTATTGCTGTTCAATAAGATTATCGCTTATTTTACCTTACAAGCAGGTAGTATTGAGATAAATACATGCAAAAATGATTTTTATGGATAAGAAAATATGGCTGTTTTCTTATTAACTTTGGGAATAGCTATAAATTTTTTTCTAGAAAAAAGTGTTCATTTAAAAGATCTTCATAATAAAGGCACTATTAAAGTTTTATTTATAGATTTTAACTGGAAGCTTTAAAAATCTTGGGTATTATGTATAAAAATAAAATATAATTTAGTAGTTAAATGGGATTTACTGAAGCGACTTCGTTTTTATGAATACATAATAAAAATCATTTTAAAATTTGTATGGACACTAAGCCTTAAAATGAGAACTATTTATAAAAACTTAAATAGAAAAAAAAGTCTTTGAAACCTGTTTAAAAAGATATTAAGACGAATAAAATAATTATTTAACTTAAGAAGTAATGGATACCCTATAAATAATATATTTTGTTTCATTTAATTGTACTACAAATGATCACAAATCATTTGAAAAGAATTAGTTACATTCAGAATTAAGAAGTTGATGAGAAATAATTGCTTATAGATATTTTTTTCATTAATAAAACTTCACCGTAAAAATTAAATTTTAAGGAGCCCTTACTACACTTTTTCTAAGTGGAAACGAACAAATTGTAAGTAAACTGATTAATATAATAAAGCGTGCTTAATACAAGTCTCCATCGTCACACTACACACGTAGCGTGAACAGTTTCATTCATAAATTTTCTTATATAAAGTAGCACATTGAATGAGAAACGGGAACCGCTTCGTGTTGTGAAAATGTTAATTTAAGCTTCACAATTCGATCTCAATAAATAAATTCATTGACTGATCTTTTTATATCTTGTGACCTAAAAAATTTCTTCTAGTACATGTTATACAGAGATGAAATCTCAAAGCATTCAATGTATTCATCGTGTGTGTGTCGGGTCCATCGTTACAGGGAGAGGAGCTTCAACAGTGACTGTGACTTGCGACCCAGGTGTAGGTTTAAGGCCCTATCTAACGCGCTTTAAACGCTCACCTCCACCGTCCAAGCTCCTTTCTCCTAATCAAATTTGAAACGAACCTACTAGGGCAACCTTCGAAGTGCGCTCCAAGAATGAATGGATATTAGTTCTG